TCAGCATAGAATTTTATAGAGGGCTCCAAATAACACAATTCTTTCAATTTTACCTACCTTTTCACAAGAGGTTGAAGGACAACTTTAAAGTTAAAAGTCTGAACAAGTTCAATGTGCTTTGTGGCTGAAAGAAATCCTGTGTCTGGGAGCAACCTGGCGCATCGTGCAATTGACCCTTTTGTGTTTCACTTGATCTGTTCCTGAAACCCCCAGAAAAAAACCCCAAATATGATTGCATGAATTCCCCAAACTTTATCAGGCAAAGAAAATTCGTACTCTTTAAATATAGAGTAAGATTTTTTGGACTTTATATACCATATATTCGGGCATATAAGACGATTGGGCATATAAGACGACCCCCAACTTCTCCAGTTAAAATAGAGAGTTTGTGATATACTCACTGTATAAGCCTACCCCTCTTCCAACACACACCAAATAATATTTTTAAAGCATCAGATTTGATTTCAATATGGTAATTTTCCTATTACTGTACCTCCTTCTCTGCCTCTCAGATCTCGCACATGCACACCTCACCACTTCATTGCAGTCTTCAGGAGCGAGATCTGAGAGGCAGAGGAGGAGATACGTAATAGGATACAAGGGTGGGCCAGACAGGTAAAAGAGCTGTGTTTTTCTGGGCCCAGAGCCACTCTATCTCTTTTTTCCATACCACGGGTGCCCCGGACGCCTGCAGCTCGCTCTGCCCTTCACTTACACCTTCCCGGTGAGGCGCCCCTTCACCTCACAATTGGGACCGCATTAAGTCCACGAATCCTGATGAATGGATTTTCTTCTACCATACTTGTACAGTGTCACTCTTAATGCTTTCATACAGTCGCTGCATATGGCAGGGACGCGGCCACTGCCATTTTTGAGCTGCCCCCACAATAGTGCCTGTTGGTAGCCGCCCTGAGTCCCTCTTTGAGAAGGACAGGTTATAAATGTTCCAAATAAACTGGGTGATCTGAGTCTACACTGCCATATAACCAAGTTCAAAGCAGACAATGTGGGATTTTATACAGCTGTGTGGAAGGGGCCTGAATGGAAGCATCCTTGTTCTGCAGCTCTGCTAATCTTGGATGAGCTAAAAGACAGGGTGCCCCAGTAGTCTTTCAAAAAAGCAATGAACAAAGAAACTCCTTGACAAAAATACTGGTTTTCCCAGAACACCTGAGGACAGAAGTATTTGTGCAGCTGTCTTTTTGGCATTAAATTATTTCCACACACAGCTGTCTGATATATAATATCCTCCACGCCTCCCCAACACAAACTGAGGGAGGATTTCTCTAAACACCTTTGAAACTATCAACATGTCAGGTTCAGTGTTATCATTTTTCAGGTGCCTGAGACGATTCCCCCTGATCTTTGTGCTTTGCTTTTTTGGCAAGAATTTCTGACGCAGCTATAGATCAATTCTCTTTTTCATCGCTGAGGAAGATATAATTTTATGTTCTGAAAGAAGTCATTTTCCATTTTACAACCTGAAAGAATTATGAAGTATAACACTTGGTGCTGAAGGGCCAGGCACACAATTCTAGAGGATTACCAAAACTTCTTCAAATCACAAATTAATTGGCAAAGGCTGTGAGGGGTGGGGGCTTTAAAGGGAGACTGGAAAAATTTGTGGAGGTTTAGGGTTATCCATTGCTACTCACTAAGGGCCCTTCCACACAGCCCTATATCCCAGAATATCAAGGCAAAAAAATCTCACAATATCTACTTTGAACTCAGTTATCTGAGTCCACACTCAGATAATGTGGGATTTTCTGCCTTGATATTCTGGGATATAGGGCTGTGTGGAAGGGACCTGAGAGAGTTATCATGGGGGGAAAAGGTCTCTCAACTGATGTTTGATCTCCAATCCTTGTTTCCACAAGTCAACATTTTCAAAGTACAGTGGGCATTAAATGTAGGACATATTATTGGGTTGAATGACTGGAAAACAATTTGGAACACCAAATTAAAATATACCTACTCATATGAACTAGAGGAGAATTTGTTCAAAATGTAGTATCAATGGTATCTCATACTGGAAAAAAATTGGTGAAATACTACAGGAATTCAGACACTAAATGCTGGAAATGTAAAACTGAAAAAGGCACCTTCCTCCACATGTAATGGAATTGCACTAAAGCAAGAAAGTAATGGCGCTCCATGCAGTCATGCCGGCCACATGACCTTGGAGGTGTCTACGGACAATG